TTTTTTTTTTAATGATTTTGAGTTTTGTTCCACATTATTCTCCCTCGCTATCCAGTATTTCTCCCTCCCCTCCGAGTGGTTGTCAGTGAGCTGGGCATCATCTATTTCTTCTGTTCTCATAGTCATATAGGCTGAGGATCACATGGTGCACCAGTTCAAAAAGGGTAGCTTTATAGGAAAGAAGGGCACAGGGAAGAGGTAACCACAGGGAGGAAGTGGGCAACGAGCTGTTACATTGTAGGGAACTGCAGTCAATGTCATCAAGCTAAATGTGTATGAAATGCTGTGTGGAAAATGAATTTGCTTTATCAATTTTCACCCAAATCACAACAAAATTTTTTTTAAAATAATAAATAAAAGGGTAGCTTTTGCCCAGAGATAAAGCTCAGAAGGCAGGAAGGGACAGGAAAGGACAAATGGAAACAGGGAGGAAGTGGAAAGAGTGCTGCTACATTGTGGAGACTGCCATCAATGTCACGAAACAAGATGTGCAGGAATTGTTGAATGGAAACCAACTGGCTCTGTAAACTGTCACCCAGTTCACAATAACAAATAACATACAGTGTCAAACAGGAGAAAGGATGTATGGTGAAGAGGCCAGGGCAGATATACGATACTCAGGAGAAGACATAGGATGGGATACCAGAATCAGGACAGATACCACAGATACCGCTTTATGAAGGAGCTCTGGTAGCATAGTGCCTAAGGCACTTGACTGTTAACCAGAAGGCTGGTGGTTCAAACCCACTAGCCACTCCTCGGAAGGAAGGTTGGGCAATCTACTTCCGTAGTGATACTGCCTCTGAAACCCAAGGAGCGGTCGCTATGAGTTGGGGCCGACTCGACGGCACACAACAACAACAACCGCTTTATGAGGGGCTAGCATTTTTCCCAAGGTCCCTGGATAGCACAAATGGTGACCTAAAGGCTGGCATTCTGAACCCACCCAGTGGCACCATGGAAGAAAGTCGTGGTGAACTGCTTTCATAAAGATCATGGCCACTGGAAACTCTCCGGAGTCCAGTCGCACTCTGTGCACATGGGGTCGCCATGAGTCAGAACTAACTCAAGGGCAACGAGCAAAATCAAGGACACAGTGTTTGTCTTAGAAGGAGTAGCCCCTTCAAGGTGCAATGTTATTTTCTGTATTTCCCAAACCCTGGGGACTAGTGGCCTGGCCCGCTCACCCCGGAGCTCCTCCTTGGCTCTCTCACACAGGTCCGTCCGGTCCATCTTGGCAAAGGTCTGCATGGTCACCACCTCCACCCAGTAGCTGCTGCAGCGGTTGATGAGAATTTCCGCCAGTTGCTTCCCGTCGGCCTCGTCCATGTCTATTTGTGGGAATTCCTGCGCGTGAAGTGTGCTTCGCAGGCGAAGGGACTTCAGTGTAGATTTGAACCGGCTCAATTCCTCCTGGTCAAGTTCTTCCAGAAGACCTTGTAGGTTGAAATCCAGCCGGTCTGGAGATGCCATCTCGTCCCACGAAGGAGATCTTAGGATTCAACATTGAAGAATTATGGCCCCTGAAGTCATCTTAAAACCAAACAACAGTTTAGCTCAAGTAGTCAATAAAGTCTGCCTTGAGAAGTGTACTCCTTGAAAGAGTTATCGATATGGGGTCAGCTGACAAGAGCAAATGGGGACATCAGTTGGGACTTCAGGAGGGCGGTGAGTTTATGTAGATGCGGGAGGAACAACTCAGAAAGGGGGCTGAGGAACATAATCAACGTCACGGGATGGTGCCTATGGAAATGGCTGTGTGTGTTCTCAACAACAACAACATAAAATGAATTACAGAAAGACAATGACCCCAAATGAGCGGTGTTGTGTCAACACCCAAGCTGTGCATGTGCCAGGAACAGGTCCATTCTGCTGCGAACCTAATCCTTCAAGAATAACTCTCCAACGGAGGTGAGATTCATGGAGGATTCTCCTATCCCTTGGCTTGACGTGAGTGGGTCGCATCTTGGGATCCCCGGACCCCTTAGGGAGCCCCTGGTGGTGCAGATGGTTGGTGTGCTTGGCTCGAACCCAAAGGTGGAGAGAAGAGCCCACCAGGAGCTCTTCCTTTGAAGGACCCCTGGGTGGGTTGATTGGAGCAGTAAGGGAGGTACCAAACTGTGCCACTCAGGGATCGCTTTTGGTGCCCTCTGTAAAGGAATACATTCTTTCCAGATTAGTGTCCAGGTAGAGCCCAATGGTTAAGACAACTGGGCAAACCAATCCTAAACCCGGGGCGTTTCTAAGGTGAACAGTCAGGCTAGAAATATTGACCGGCTGTGGCTACTGGAAGGCAGTAGTATGTTGACACCACCACCGACATGCTCTTCCCATGTGGGGTTCATTTCCCCGAAGCCTGGTGGAATCGTGTTGCATGCAGGACTTCCCCCCTGATTCACGACTCTAAACCCATCATAAAATCAAACTCTACCCGAAACTGAAACAGAGAACACTTCTCTATCAAGAGACATCAGTGACGTATCCATGAACCTGAACCGACGATCAGGATTGAACAGTGGACGAGGGACAGCTCACAGTCCATCAGTTCTGAACGGTTAGCCCCAAACAAAGACGGCAGCTACAAACACCAGCTTCACAAGAAGCTACGTGTCCGCCAGAAGCCTACAGTCATTAGTCAAAACCAGGAAGGGCGTTTCGTTTGACAATGGAAAGCTGAGGGACAGGCCTCACATGGAACCGATGACATGCAGCCATTACTTAAGACGGTTTATGGGAAGAGCCTCCTTCCGATACCACATTTCTCTCCTCCTTAGAAGGGACCTCATCACAGCCGTCCCCGTGTCTCTACGCTGCCCAGTCATTCAGTGTGGAAGCCTGTTTGGCGAGGGCTGGATGAGGCAGCGAGTGTGGTCGTATCTCCACATGGTGGGAAAGGAAGGTTTAGGGAGATTAAGGAATTGTTTCCTCCTGGCTGTCATATGTTTAAGGCAAGATTCTAGTCAATGCAGCCTTACTCCAGAACGTGAGATCTTAATCTTTGCTAACGGAATTAACACTCCCAGTAAAGTTACAGAGCAAATAGGGGGAGTGTGGAAGATAAAGCCAGGGGCTTCTCAAAGTGGATGAAATTCTGTCCAGAAGGAGGACAGATTAAGTAAAATGTTCCAAAACCCAATGGATTAAAAAAAATATTCTTTTAATCTTTTTTTTTTTTTTTTACACTCTTGGGTGACCGTTTACACCGCAGATTGGTTTCCACTCAACAACTCACGCGCGTTCTGTTTTGGGGCATTCGCTGCAGTCCCTCAGTCTAACAGCTCTCTTCTCCCTCCCTGTTTCCCGTTTCCCTCAGCCTTCTTCAGTCGCTTCCTGCCTTTGTAACAAAGCCTGCTGACCCCGATAAGATGCTCACTTGTAATCATGACTGGAAAAAATGTTCTACATGCAACGCGATTCCAGCTGCAGCAAGGGAAGGAATCTTCATGCGAACAGGATGCTGCTGGGTGGCAGGGTCAATCCTGACTCACAGTGATCCCACGAGAGAACTGCCCCATCAGGTTTTCGGGGCTGTCATCTTCCAGGAGCCCTGGTGGTGCAACAGTGAAGCGCTCAGCTGCTAATGTAAAAGTTGCTGGCTGGACCCGCCGAGAGACTGCTCAGGAGGAACACGTGCTGACCGGCTCCAGTAAAGATGGCAGGTTCCCGTCACACGGGGTCGCTGAGTCGGAAATCAGCTCGACGGCACCTAACAGTCCTGACCGTGACCAGTCAGCCAGAACTTTCTCCCGCAGAGCCACTGGGTGAGCTTGAACCACCAACATTTCCATTCGCAGCTTAATGCTTAGTTATTGCACCACCAGAGCTCCTGTGTTACATAGTGTTATTGTGTGCTGTTGATTCGGACTCACAGCGCCCCTAGAGGACACAGTGGAACTGCCCCACAGGGTCTCCCAGGCTGTCAATCTTCACAGAAGCAAAGCCCAAACCACACCCAGTGCCGTGGAGTCCATTCTGACCCACAGCGCCCCTAGAGGACAGAGTGGAACTGCCCACAGGGTCTCCAAGGCTGTCAGTCTTCACAGAAGCA